AATAAGAAATAATTTTAGTTATTTAGCTCTGACTGTGTTTGACATTGTTTTTCTTGTATTTCTTGCATTCAGCTCCTTCACCTTATTGAAAACCATACTCTGACATTGGTTTGAGGCATCATACCATGGCTCATTTTATTCTCAATGTTCAAAATCATTGCTCTCAAAGAGCAGAAAGATTTCTAACATTTTAAATAATAGAAACTCAAGTTGATGTGTATATATCAATGTAGTTGAAAGTTACACTCACTAATGTGTATTGAACTCATACAATTATTGTTGATGGTGCAGCATTGATGATGTCATCAATTGTGGTATGCTCTGCATTAAGGATTCTTTTGATGGTGCTGATAATTGCTTTTCATTCCCCTTTTCAAGAAAAGGGTTAACCTACATATTTTAATGTATTTCATTGTCTACGAGCTTTTTTTTTCCCTCTCTTGGTTAGTAATACTTTTACAATTTCATGGAGATATGAAGCTCTCTCCTTGTATACCATTATCACATTTGGTATACTTTCCACACCTTAGATGATGTTCCTCCAGTTTTGTTGATGTACATTATTGGTTTGATTTCAATCACGAATTGTATGGTGTATACATACAAATTTGGATTTTGAGAAAAGTAGCATGTTGAAAATTGCAATATGCATGCTTTTTGCTGTATTGTTGGACGTTTCATACCTTATGATCTGGCCTAATCTCTATGAATGAGTACATCTTCGAAATTTATGAAGTTGTACGCTTGTATTTGGGAGAATATTTCGATTTTGGCTTCTCGCACATCGGCATTGATTGTGAGTGACAATTCAATATTCTTGTCTACATTGCTGAATTTTTGGTGTGCTAGCTTCGCTATCTTTGTGTACAATGCTACATGAATTTAAAAAATAGGCTTAATAATTATATTTATTGATTTTACTGTAAGTTCTAATATTTATTAAAATTCACTATCTATTCAATTGTTGTAATTATCAATTAATTTTTTAAATTCATCCGTTATTACTCTTATTTTTTTTATTGTATAAGCCTGCACTCAGAAGTCTAAACTCCGGCTACAGATATGAATTGGGAGTAAATGTACTTTTTTTATTAAAAAACTGAATTCAAAGATGCACACCCAACTTGCACAAACTTAAACATGCAGAAGAGGCACAATCCAAAATTGAATGAGTCAAACCAAAATAAAAAATTGAATGACTCCCAAGTATTTATCTTTGCCCTTTATGTTTCCCTCTTCCATGTGGCAATCTAGCCTTCTTGCTCCCATCCTTGATCAGTTATTGTCCTCTTATGTACGGTGTACCAAATCACTCATTTTTCAAACACTTGGTTCACTCGGACGGCAACAAAAAAAAAAAAAAAAAACCATACTTCTGAGTTATAAAAAAGGGAAGATTACATTTTTGACCCATCACCTATGTCATCTATTTCAGGTTATCCCCACAATTTTCATATTTCTCTTGTTGTATCTTTAACTATTCTTACCAGTTTCACATCATCCCAGTTGTATATATCAGTTACAGATTGGACGAAACTTGTAGCTGATTTTGTTTTTTACTCCATACATATATTAGGGTGTGGTAACAGATATTTGGTTTTAGATCAAACAAGGTGAAGCCAATTTAAGTAGTGGGGGGACATTATGAAAAACTCAATACTAAAATGTGTAAAGTGAGATACTTACTCGTAAGATATCACCCAATATATCGTACCAATGTAGGAGAATAAGTTCTTCATCCAACCGTTTGCCTGTTAACAACCCGATTATTCGGTGGCAACAAAGTTTTCTTGTGGCAACAAATGTGTTGACAATATTCTCATATAGACACAAAGACAAACACTATAGATTTCGTCATCATCTAGGCTTCACAATCTTAAATGAAAAGCCCCCAACTCCCATTACACACAAAACACTCTTCTCTCTCTCTCTCTCTCCGTCATAGTTATCTCTTGTTTTCAACATGCAAAAAAGATTCCGGCAAGTCTTTACATCTGTAAAAGAGCACACTAGCTTTAGCTGTGCAAAAATAGCCACCGTCGGAGGGTTTTCCGATCTCGATCTTATAGTTGTGAAGGCATCATCGCCAGAGGACGTACCCTTGCCGGACAGATATGTTCATGAACTCTTGAAGATCTTCTCCATTTCACCACCTTCTTCATTCCGGGCCTTTTCACAGAGCTTTACTCGCCGGTTTGGCAAGACACAATGCTGGAGAGTTGCACTCAAATGCCTAGTCCTCCTCCACCGATTGCTCCGATCGTTGCCTGAAAACAGCCCGTTTCGTTCCGAACTCCGGTGGGCTAGATCCAACGGACTGTTGTCTCTGCATCCATGCCATTTCCGGGACTGTTCATCGTCGGCTGCCGGAGATTATACCATGTTTGTAAGCTCATATGCTCAATTACTTGATGAAGCAATTGACCACTTGTCCTTTGAAAGTAAGGAAATAGAGGAACAAGACCCTGAAGACTTTCCTGATAGAAAGAAAGATTTAGATCGAATAATTGAAGTCTTGGCACAACTCCAATGCCTCATTGATCGAGTCATGGATTGCCAGCCGACCGGACCGGCTGCTCGGAGCTTTGTTGTTCAATCAGCTATGAGACATATTATCCGGGATAGCTTTATATGGTACACAACCTTTAGAAAAGAGATTGTCCTGGTTTTGGAGAATCTAATTCAGTTGCCATACAGGAATTGTGTAGCTGCTTTTGGTATTTACAAGAAAGCAGCCCTACAAGCTGATGAACTAGGAGAATTTTATGATTGGTGTAAGTCCATGGGCTTGTGTGGATCATATGAATACCCTTTAATTGATCGAGTTCCAGAAATGCAGATTCGAGCACTCGCAGATTTTCTCAATGGGATGTGGCAATTAACAGATTCATCGTCTTCATCCACCACGTCTCCCTTAACGTCAACGATGCTGTCTCCGATAAGTTTAACAGAAAATGACAGTCACAAACAACCGGTGACATCGGAGAAGATTCGCGCCCTTGGAGATTTTTTCAATGGGATGTGGCAGATAACAGATTCATCATCCTCATCCACCACATCCCCATTAACATCAACGATTCTGTCTCCTTTGAGTTTAACAGAAGACGGTGAGGACAAACAACCGGTGATATCAGAGAAGGTAGAAAGCACAAATTTGTTGAAATCTGAAGAACATGCTGAGAACAAAAAAGTGGATAAAGTTGGAGATATGGAGCCACTAATACAGTTTGAAGTTGACAGTAATGTGAGCTGGGAGGCTCTTTTAGAAGCTTCCATAAGTCCATCATCCATGGCTCCTAAAAACAACTTGTTCCCCCGGTACCCTAACGTCCATGGATATGGAAATTATTCAGCAGATGGACCCAAAGATGAGGTGAATCAATGGCAGATGCAAATATATAATCCCTATACCCTGCACCCTTTTTATCAGCAGTACAACATGCCCCATTACTATGGATCAGTCCCTAGTAACCCTACTTACCCATGGGGTCTTTGATGCTAAAGTTTGGACCAGTATTTGCAGGCAATTGACTGAATTCTTTGAAAAAAGTATTGGAAAAGTTTGTCAGGGAGTCTGTATTTTTTAGCAATAATTAGAAAGTATATTACTTGTAATTGCCTTTTCTTCTTCTTTTTTGGTAATCAGACTCGCGCTTTTGAGATCCAGATCTCATTATACATTTTCTCAACTTCTGACAATGATTTTTGACGATGTACAAAATTGATTTACACATTACCTGTTAATTAAATAATATAAAATACAGTGAGTAGAGGGAGAGTGAAAACAAGATTTATAGTGGTTCGGCCAATGAAACCTATGTCCACTTTCAATGGCTAGGTTCGTCGGAAATTTTATTGACTCTGGTGCGTTGGGAGAGCAAGAATTATAAAAGGGAGAGGAGATGAGCTTGATTTTTATGAGATGCCCCCTGAGTGTTAGGGGAGCTTACAATTTATAATCACATGCGTAGTAATTGAATAACTAATCTAACGGTCATAATTGAAGCCGTTTAATAGTAATTAAATCTCTTGGCGACTTCTCCTCTCCTCAACCAGTATGGAGATTATAGTGCTTTCCAAAGAACTTTGTCATGGATGAGGGAGGTCGACTCTCTCCAAGCTGCGAGAGTGAGGCTCTTGATGCTCACTTGGTGGTGAAGCTCCCTGATGAGCTTGATTAGTTTGACTAGACCGATCACATCGGGCTGAACTTGTGGACCTCTTGGAGTTGGGCCTTAAAACTCGAATCAGATTTATAATATAAGTTGGACCCTTGGGCTTGGCCATCAATTTTGTTGGAGTATTGATCATCGTGGATTGGTATAAATAGAACCCACCTAATGAGGGGTCACCTGTCATTAAGGAATATTGAGAAAGTGAGGTGAACCAGTTCCGAATAGCACTGTGGGATGACATACAAGCATATACTTACGGATTTGTCGAATTTGTCTGAGCATATTTACGTTATGGCTATTCCATTTTCATTCAACTTTGCGTTATTTCTGGGACATCATTTATCAGTGTTAAATCTTTTCATACAGATAGTAAACAGTTCCAAAGACCTTTTGAGGTAAGACAGGAACGACTAGAAATCATATAATAAAAAAAGAAAAAGAAATAAGAAAGGTGGTAAGGGTTTACCTCATCATCGCAAGGAATCGGTGAAGAAACACAATCTAATAAAAATAGTTGGGATTACACCATTATTTATATGTCAAGTTTCCTACCAAAAAAAACCTATTCTTCTACTAAAATTCTAAAAAATTTCATAATCAAACTCTTAAATTCATATTCTACTAAAACTCTATAAATAACTCTTAGTTTTACTCTAACTAATACTCTTAATAAAATAAATATTCTCTAACTAATAAAATAATACTAAAATAAATAATAAAATTCAATTATTAATTTAGCTCATCCAATCCCTTTTCAATCTTTATCAATTCTCCCTGGTTGAAAAAAACTCTTCTTCGAAGAGTTAGAGAGCTACAAGAACTCCAAAAATCTGAAGAAGCTTGTGTTCCAAGAAGATAGCTTTGTAGATCTCCATAGTAAAAAATAATCCCTTCATGCATTACATCCATCACAGTCTTATCCACATACTATTATAGGTGAATTGTAACTACATCTGCAGTGGCACCCTTTAAAACTCTATTAACTTCTTTTGTAAGAAAATCTTTTGAGATTGGCTTATCAAAAGTAATTGATGTAAGATAAGGAAAACTTTTAGGTTTATCAACGGTATCTAATTTCAGCTTATCATACAATTGAACTAGGGTTTGCGGTTGTGGAGGAATTTCTTGGGGCAGAGATTTTCAACAAATCAACTATTTGTTGACGAATGATGGGTGAAGAAGATAAATCAAAGTCTACCTTGTTCGCAATATTCTTACTTGGGAGCTTAACTCCAAACACAGCAGTCAACTTTTGTGCACTTTCTTGTATATATTCCATTGATGTGTGAAACGAATCCATTGACGCTTTGGAGTGAATCAAGCTTAGCATCACGAGTTTCAAGTTTGACAAGTAATTTTGCATTGGTAATCATTTTGATTGAAGAAGTAACATGAAAAGTTGTAGAAAACTTTAGAGTCAAACTATAATTTCTGAAAATTTTGGGACTGATTTATAATTTCAGAAACTTTTGGACAAAAATGTAATTTCTAAAACCTTAGGGGTAAAACCATAATTTTAGAAACTTTTCAAGGCCAAAGTGTAATTTCAAAAACTTTAGGGGTTAAATATATAATTTTAGAACATTTTGGGGTTGTTTGTATAATTTCAAAAGATTGGGTTAGAGAGTGAGATTTTTAGCAGGGTTAGCTGGATGGGTTATTAGGTCTAGAGCTGGAATTTTTTTTTTCCTGGCTATGTTAGTAGCAAAAACAATCTTACAACAGATCTCTAGAAACACTATAAGAAGGATCAAAGTTGAACTCTGATACAAAATTGATGTAGGACGAAAACGACTAGAAATCACAGAATAAAAAGAGAAAAAAAAAAGAAGAGGGGATAGTAAGGGTTTACCTCATCCTCGTAAAGAATCGGTGAAGAAACACACAAATTCTCCACGAAGAATCACTTTCTCTAATAAATATAGTTGGAATTACACCATTATTTATAGACCAAGCTTCCTACCAAAATAAAAAAATATTCTCCTATTAAAATTTTAAAAGAGTTTCATAATCAAACTCTCAAATTCTTATTTTATAATAACTCCTAGTTAAATTCTAACTAAATTCTAACTAACACTACTAATCAAATAAATATTCCCTAACTAATAAAGTAATACTAAAAAAAATAATAAAATTCAATTCTTAGTTGCGTTTGGTAACATTTTCGGTTTTCAGTTTTTAAAAAAAATAAAAATTGAAATGGTTTTTGGTTTTCAATTTATAAAAAACCGAAATAGAAAACTTGTTTAATAAACACTTCTAAATTATTTTATGAACAACTTATTTACGCCATACATTTTCATGATAATTTAACTATAAAAATAAAATATTATAAGAATAACATATTAAGGCATAACATAATTTTATTTATTAACAACAATGTACCGATGCCTTTTCTTTTTTAAACAATTTTATTTATTAACAAAAGATAGAACATTACAAGAAGCAAACAGAGCTATAAAACCCCTTAACAAAACCAAGACATAAAAGAAAAAGGACAAGCCACAACTTGGCTTTATTCCTTTAAAACATACTAGTGTCTTAGACATTACAACCAACAAAGTTTAAAAACAGTAGCAATCTCAGATGGCCTTCACACTTCCAACTTTCCACCTTCTTACCCACCATCGTCAAAATTCAGCACCATCTTCTTACGCAGAACAGGCAAATACCTTTGATCTTGAAGCAGCCTCATCCTCACCACAGCAAACAACTGATTCGTACAAAACTCAAAAAAAAATCCATCCTGGACAGCCTGAGTAGCTAAACCCATCGGCCACAAAATTTGTTTCACGATAAACATGTGCCAAATGGAAATTCAGCCCATTTAAAAGCTGTCTGATATGTGCCACCACCCCAAAATAAGGCCAAGAACACTTAAACTGACCTTTCATAGTATTTACCACCACCAAAGAATCTGTCTCAATCAAAACTTGATAGTCAGACAAACCCAACCTCACAAACAGCTTTAAACATCACTTTAACAGGCACCACAATACCCAAAAATCGTAAAATATCCCTTTCTCTACTCCCCTCTTCTTATCTTTACGTAAACCCGATGGACCAACCCCACCCATCCCATCCCCTTTCTTTTTGATAATCAAACAACCAGACAAGCTCTTTTTCGTCAAGACACCCATTGATCTCACGCCCTCTTCCATTCCTCGAAATATCCAAAAAAAAAAAAATCCCCAGATATTAATCAAATACACATTCAATTCCGCCCAAATTCACCATCAAAATTAACAGAAAACCCCCCAAAAAACCAAATTGTGCATCTTTAATCAAAGATACGAGATCTGGAACAAAGCTAATAAAGACCCCATATTTTATAAAAGCCCAAGAAAATCTAACGCATATAATTGTCCTTACAGTGAAAATTAGAGGGAAATCATATGATCTGTACCTCGCCGGCGAGTATTAGCAGATAGATTATGTTGATTGGTGACGTAATTTTTCGGTGAGGGGAAAGAGAATTCTTCAGGTTGTACTTGGTTCTCTCTGTGCGTATGTGTAAGATGGACGACGAGAGAGCTTCAGACGAGAGTGAAAAAGTTAGTCCTGCTTTGCTATAACTCCTCTGCTAGACGAAGTTGCTGCTGTGAACGAAAGGATTGAGAGAGACGATGAGATGAGACAGAGTTTGTGGGTTTAAATAGATTTGTTAGCTGGGTTTTTGGTAGAGTGAGTAGTTTGTTGTTAACAAGGCTCGATGATAGGACCTCATTAACACCTTCCGCCCCGTTCCGGTCTTTTGTTTTGAAAACGATTTCAGTTAAAAAGAAACTAAAATAATTATCAACCGAGTTTAAATTTCAGATTTTTTAAAAAATTGAAAACAAAAATAAAAAAATTGAAAAGTAAACCGTTACCAAACGGACCTTAAATTTAGACTCATACAAATTTTTTTTGTTCTCTATCACCTTTCATTGGTGAGGTAATGGACATTGCATCTCCAGTAATTATTATACCAGTTCCAAACATCTTTGTATATTAATTTGGATGGCTTGGGTATAGTTTATTGAAGAATGAAACTGTTCTTTTTGTCCATGGAAGGGTGCTCATTTTCTGGGCCTTCTATCATCCACCCATAAAAGTTTACTGGTCTTGGATGAGTTGTAATGCCCCAAAATTCTTTTTGGACGGTATTACTATTTAAATTCATTTACGTCATGAGAGCAACTAATAAGATCCATAAATAAAGAAAATTTCATTCATCATCCACAATATCTACAACATCATTCAAAAGAATATGTCAAACTATGATAATAATGCCCAAAAGAATATATCAAATTATTATCTCGCAGCAAAATAAGAAAAA